GGAGATTCCCAGGAGGATCGACGACTACGTGGTGCCGCACAGTCCCGAATTTCGGACTAGCCGCGAGCGTCTTCACGAAATTTTCGAGCACAATCGCTACCTTCGTCGCAAATTCTTCGAGGACGTTCCAGCCGCTAGCGGCAGTGGCAACAACAACAGCAACGGCGGCATCGACGGCATCGACGGCAGCGAGCCTAGCGGCCAGGAACAAATACCATCGAAGCTGCAGACGACTCGCAACTCGGACCTGCAGAAGAGCGGCTTGGGTTTCGGCAGCACGGAGACGCTGACGAGTCACTCGGCCGGAAGTAGCACGGACGGCCGAAAATCCCGCGCCGACAATTTCGGTAACACGCCCGACTCGCTGCCCGAGAAAACGGCCGACCCGGCGCTGCCCTTGACGTACTTTGGCGCCGATCGCAACGGCGGCACCTGGCGATGCGTGACCAGTGACGCCGCCGCGCGACTGCCTCTGGACGCTCAGCCGGCCGAGCCTCGCGATCGACCGGACAAAGCCGACGGCGACTCCAAATACTTCGCCAGCTACGTGCAGCTCACCGATTCGTCCGATACCGAATCCAAGAGCGTCTCGCCGCCGCCGCCGCCGCCGCCCATGACGGCGATGACCGTTCGGCGCAGCAAGAATATCCCGCCGGCGCTGGATCCGAGCCACTCGATGCCAGGACACGGCAGCTGCGACGAGCTCGAGCGCGCGCTGCTGCAAAATTACGAAGTCGACGATTGGGCATCGAGGGACGTCGGCTCGAGGATCGAGCGCGACCGCGGCAATATTCTCAAGGCCAGTCGAAGCCTCTTGGAGCTGTCGTCGAGCCTGCCGACGGTCTCGTCACCGACGCTCAACCGTCGCGAGACCAAAATCGAGCGCATGATTCGCCGACGCAGCCAGAGTGCTTTCAACAAGTCCTGCAGCGACTTGAGCATCATGGTCGACGAGGCCAGCCGGCTGTTGTCACCTCGACTCGTCGGCGACGCTCTCAGAGAGGGAACGACGTCCGATAGCAGCAACGGCACCGGAACTACGCTCCCCTCGCTCTACGGGCCGATGCCGTACAGTCAGTAACTTCATCCTCTTTTCTTTCCTCGCTTGTCTTCTTAGCTATGCGTGGATAAGGCTGCCGGCGCTACGTCCTGATTGCCGGCGTTCCGCTTAGACTTTTAGCCGAAGATCGGCCACTCCATTGTGACGTCGATGCACATTGACCGTACTCGAACTCGCGCCCGATGCCCGATCGCAATTCGCTTTCTCTGCTCGAAATTATTAGCACCCGACGATCGACTGCACGCGCGGGCATTCAATTCCGCCTCGTAATTCCCGCTCGCTTATCGGCAAATCTCCCGTGGATAAGCATCTCCGGACGTCCTCCCACGACAAAGAAACTCAGCAAACGAGTCGTCTGCGTGCACTTCAACGGCCATTCAATTACCAGCAGAAGCAGCAGCAGCAGCAGCAGCAGCAGCAGCAGCGGCGATGAATTTTAAACAATCGCACTTCTTGAATCGCCGGCCGCGCCAAGCCGCAGGCTACTTAGCAGCTGGAGAGCTGGTCGCGATTGCCTCAATTACGCACGCGCAGCGACTGGATTATTGTGCGAGAGCCAGGCTGCAGCTGGGCTGGCGGGCACGTGGCGCGGACGTTCGAAAGCACCTGTTTCACTTTCGCTACTTCCGCGCGCCTCGATGCACCCGCGAGAGCTCGCTCGGCTATACGTGCATGTGCACTCGACGGTTTTTAATTACCAGCGGCAGGCTCGAGAGCCACATTGCCGAGCGTATCCACGTTTTATTAGTTCACGGGAAGCGCGCTCAGGCGGAAAGTATTGTTTATGGAACTACTTGAAAGTGAAATACCGACCAAGAGCAATTTAAGAAATACTTCACGGACAATTTTTTAGATGTGTGAATATGATAATTGTAGTGTCGAACAGCTCGTTCCTGATGTACAATTTCATACATCGATTCTCTTTTACGATATATTACACGTCTGCCGAACAGCTATGGGTTTGTTAACACAATACTTTACACTACCGAATTCCAGATGCCCGCGATGAACGAACGAACTCAAACTTTTAATAGCTCCACATAATTTCGTTTTGCCGCAGGTCCATACATGCGTTCACGATCTCCATCGTCATAAATTCGAAATTTTTCGCGAGCTATGTTAACATCGTGCTCGAGCCAACTTTTGATGAACGCAACTTAAACTCGTTGAAAAGTAAAGAAGAATAAAAAAAAAAAGAAAGGGCAAAAGAAGCCCGTGTGCACTCTCTCCGCTCGGCGAGTCCAACTTTTCCGCCTAAATTCCGCGTACGCGCTCGCGGATATAACCAGACTTCTTTAATTTCAGCCATTCTCGAGCGCAACTTCTCTCTCGATATCTCTCTTTCTCTCTATTTAAAGAGAAACACAGAACAAGAAAAAGAGGCAGAGCGGGGTGGAATAAGGCTCTCTAAAACCAGGAACTGCCGTATCGAAGCGAACGCTTTCGAAGTAATACACGAAGAATTTCACGAAGCGACTTCCTCGATCGCGGCCGCGCTGGCCGCGCGCGCGCATCCTACTTCCGAGCGAGCGATTCGAAGTAAAAGAGAAACGAAAGAAAGGAAGGGGGAAGAAAAAAAAAAAAGTCGAGATTACGTAATGGACACTGGCGCGCCGCGCCACGCCACGGACGCTCGAGACGCACGTAACGCACGCCGTACGTATGCACGCAGTTGCACGCGGCGAGCGCGCGGGTGCACGCAGGCAGAGCGGCAGTCTCGTCGCGGACCCGAGCGAATGCGATCAATCGGCGCGCCGTCGCGTGACGAAACGCGGCTATATTTACATGCGTGACCCCTCGCTCGGCCGAGCCGACCAGCAGCCGGGTGGCGCAGAAGAGCGGAGCAGCCACGTCTCGCGCCGCACCGGCCGCAAGTGCAGCGCGATTATGTGCAGTGCCGGCAGGACGGACTAGAGTGCCGCTCAGCGAGATGGCCGTCGCGAGGAAGCTGTTTCGCTGCGATCACGAGGCTGCGGATCTCGGGACCTCGGCGGACCACACGGGTAATGGTTTTGTTCCTCTCGCCGCGCCAACCTGCTGCCCCCGTCTTCCCGCGCGATTCGCGCTCGGATCAATCGACATCTGCCTTTTCAAAATTCACGCGAAACGACGAGGCTACTCGTTGTGAAACACTCGCCGCGTGAGTCACTGCAGCTTCGCAGACACGCGATGGCTCGTGAATGAAAGTGCACTGAACTTGCTCGAATACAAAGATGCAGGTTCCGTACACTCGACGACGAAACTACCAGAAATTAATCGGCCAGTCGTGCGCTACTGATCCCGATGAGCAACGAATGGGTACCCGAAGTCGCGCTGATTAACGCGCAGTAATACGGTTCATAACGGGTGTGAGGAACGTATTTGCCCTCGGAGAAAAAGCTGTCGAAACAATGGAGGAACAGAGTCGTATCACAGCGCATTACCCAGCAGTTTTCAATACACAGTCGCGATCGGAAGCCTTAGAAAGGTAGCAGCTAGGTGAACTACTTAAAGTCGAGCGCGTTGCGCGTCCCATGTGGGTCACTTATCTGGCATCCGACTTTTTTCTTTCTTTCTTTCTTCTGCCGGCGCGCGTGCACGCGCTAGCCTCCATTTGAGGAATCTTCGTAACCGTCGCGGGTCACGCGACTCGCGGCGTCGGTGGCCAACGAAAATCTCCGGATCCGCGCCAGAAACAATGGCACATCGAGCGCGGATTTTGTAGCGCGTGACGCCTTTTTTCCACGCGCTCCGCGCCTAAGCGGCAGACTACGATTAATGCCAAGCTGCTCTTTCGTCTCGAATAGAAAAGCCACGCTCCCCTCACTTTCGGCAGGAGCGCCACGCTAGATCGCGCGTAATCCAGCGGCGAACTGTCTCGTTTTACGCATTCTTCGTCGAGGCGCGACCGAGAGCGGACGGAGGAGCGGCAAACGAGCTCCGCGTGTGCGTGTCTGGCTTTCGGTTTCCCACGTCGATCGCAAATTCGTTCTTGGCGAAGGCCGTGATCGATCGCGCACTCGAGGCTCCGCGGATTCGGGCCGCTCGCGGTGCAATATCGATGAGCCCGAGGATGCGCGTGCCGCCTTTGTTTGCCGAGCGGCCGAATCCGCTCCGAATTGGTCAATTGCGGCCAATTATGAGCTGCCACGGGTCTGCGCGCACGCCCGTTTCATTTCCTCGCGCTGCGTTGCGTGTTTCATTAAAAGTTTTCGAATGTCAGATATAGCGAGTGACAGTTTTATTGTATTTGCCCTTGGTCGCCCCCTCGGATTAGTTGATTTTGTTCGACGTTTTATTGCAGCGAGTGTAAAGTGCACGTTTGCTGGAAAGAGGTGGGAGTCAAGGGGGGTTAGTAGATTTAATTGAAACTTGCTCAGCTACAAGTTTTGAAAGTTTCTGAAGGAAAGTAAGAAAGGATCGTTAGAGGATCATAATGTAACGAAGCTCGACCAGCTTGCTCATTTAACGCATTTTCATTTACGGCGAGCAGACAATTAGTACAGTGGGAAGTTGTGAGAGAATTGCAAGCCAACGACTTTCCGTAATACAATAGAATGCGGCAACTAGTTAGCCGTCCAATATTTTGTCAACCTCGATTAGTAGCAATATTGCATGAACAACTAATCTGAAAAATGTTGGCAATTGGGATACTATCTGATGTAGCTGGTTCGTTCGCTCTTCGACTTCAATCTTCGCAAAACGGGGGAAAAACAAGTAGCCAAAAGAAAACAGATAGCCGCGTCATCCGAGCAAAAGAAGCCAATCAATCATTCCAAGCAAGAAGCTTCTGTCTGCTCCGTTATTAATAAATAGATAAAGTATACATTGTTTTCTTATCTACAGAGCTGAAATAAGTCGATCAAAAATATGCAATAATACTGCTTCTCCAAATAATCGTATCCCCGAGAAAATTCAGTGTGGATAAATGAGAATGACCCGTGGAAAAACTCGGTTGCAGAATCGCCGAGGCGCTACGTGGAGGGCGAGGTGACGATACACTATCGCTCGCCGGTGCGCACCGAGGCGAAGGAGCCGCTGAGCGAGGAGGAGCTAGCGCGGCGCAGTGCCGAGAACATGCGACGGGTCTATCAGGAGGAGCGCCGACGCAAGTATCTGCAGGAGCTCCACGACATCGACTCGCGCAGGCACACCGACAACTTCGTGTAAGTCGCACGCGTGCACGGCGCCGAGCCTTTATCGATCCCCAACGACGCTTATCGAGGGAGCGCTTTACCATACGAGGATACGCGCTGCGGCAGCGTTCGTCGTCGTGTCGACAACGTAATCTCAACGATTTCAACTCGATCGTCGATTTTGCACTTGCACTCTTCGCGCGCTTGTCGTTCAAATTCTTTTCATTCGATTCCAAGTTGCCGCTATGTTTCTTCTTGCAGGCTCGCCTGCAGTGTACGTTGCGATTGCCCGCGAGCCATCCATAATCTTTCCATCGGGATTACGTGATAAACTAATTCCTTTCCATGAACTTTATTATCTCGTCCTCTCCTTATCGTGGATTTTATGAAGCTCGTCAGCAATGCGCTGCTGTACCATCCGCTGCAAATGAGCACCCCTTTATTTACCAACGTAAAAATAAGCCCTTATCTACGATTTTTATATCTAAACATTATCACACGACCATAACTCATACCTGTTATTCTACTTGTAAATTTTTTAATGGCAAACATAAACTTCCGTACGAGTTTTCGGTAAAGCCAACATTTTGCGATGTCGTAGACAGTCGATTTCATGATATTTTTTCAATAATGTTCGACTCCAAATGAAAATTATAAAGTATTGTTCGAACGAGACGATGAAAAAAGTTATTTTCATTTTGTTGAAATTGGGACATCGGCACATCTTTGCTCGTTCGTTCGTCATTCTTTTTCCAAGCACGAGTGAGAAAGAAAAATTAATCGTTCCAGCAGCCCATCCCAGAAGTCGCCAATCCCGCTGAATCGTTACGACGACTTCCTCGACGACTTGAGCTACCGAAGTCGCTCGCAAGAGCAAACGCCAGAGCCGAGGCTGGTCGCGCGAGCACTGTACAACTTCATCGGTCAGTCGCCGCGCGAACTGACCTTCCGCAGAGGCGATCTCATCTTCGTGCGTCGGCAGGTTGACAAGAACTGGTACGAGGGCGAGCACAATGCCATGGTCGGCCTATTCCCCTTCAATTACGTCGAGGTGGGTTGCCGCTGGCTCGTTCTCTCTTATCGGTGACTGGCCAGCGTTTCTCAGAGCATCGTGTAGCGAGCTAGCTCCGTGATTTACCGACTGGCGGCTCGGCGAGAATTCTTCGTTGAACGTTCATTTATCGCCATTACCATTCTGCAGATTGTTCCTCACGACGAGGTCAGGACCTTAGCGAGAAAGCCGTACGAGGGCCAGGCACGAGCGAAATTCAATTTCATCGCGCAGACTAATTTGGAACTGTCGCTGCCAAAGGGTATGCACGTTCGGGCGTACATTAAGAAAGTAGGAACCGGAAGATCATATCTTTTCTCTTTTCCAGGAGAGCTCGTGTTCTTGACCAGGAGGGTGGACGAAAATTGGTACGAGGGGCGCATCGGCAACAGAAAGGGCATTTTCCCGGTTTCCTACGTGGAAGTGATCTGCGAGCCTGGTCTTAGGCCAGGTAAGATGCAGCCAGCTTACGACGTCGTAAGAAAACAGGAGAATGTTGCACTTCCGTCTGATCTCGCAGAAACACCTGTCCAGAGCAAGCCCGTTGCCTCGCCGGCTGCACACAGCATGCTATCAAACGGATCGGCCGGCGGAAAGCTGAGCATGGGAGCCCATCACTACTCGCCGTCGCTGCCAGTCAACATCAACGCAACTCAGCCCCACTATAACTCACTGGTACGTAGTCCCGCGATCTACCGGACGATCGATCGGTCAATGGGCGTTCGCTTTGACTTTGCAGCCAAAAGGAGGGAACAAGGTGAACATGGCAGCGCTCAACGAAACGCTGCACATCGACACCCACACCGAGCCCATACCGTAAGTGGAGCCGAGAGCAGGCGGCGAGCCAGGCCCGGGAGGAGGACGGTGCACCGCTGATCGCAGACACGATTGCATTGCAGATACCGAGCGCTGTACAACTACAAGCCGCAGAACGACGACGAGCTGGAGTTGCGCGAGGGCGACACGGTGTACGTGATGGAGAAGTGCGACGACGGCTGGTACGTCGGCTCGTCGCAGCGCACCGGCTACTTCGGCACCTTCCCGGGCAACTACGTGGAGCGCTTGTGAGGCTTACTCCCCCAGCGGGACCCGCGCTCCTAGGGTTCGGCCCTGGGGCAGCAGCCGATGCCGAGGCTGCTGCTCCGGCTGCCCTCGCCGCCCAGGCGCAGCGCCACCCGAGCCGTGCTCGAGCGCGTGCTCGCTGCCCTGCTGCCGCCCGGCTGCGCGAGCTCTCGGCACAAGCAGCAGCCCTAGATCGCCGCCTCGCGGACCGAGCCCGACCACCGCTGCCAAAGAGCCTCGTGTGTACGAATGAACGACTGAATGCTTGTAAATACTGATGATGATTCGTCTTCCGAGTGCTTTTGTAAATCGTTTGCTCGCGACTCGACGAACCACCGAATGCACGCACCAGCCGTAAGTAGTCTACGTTGTAGCGCTGAATCGACGCGCGTCCACGCAGCTTCGCGGCTCAAACTCGCCGTCGGGCCAACTATACACCCACATCATTTGTACGTTTCTTACCGATTTTAGGTTTTTACACTGCGCGAGGTTCTACGCGGCCCGAGGCGAGTTTCTTTTCGGCTGACTTTCTCATCGAAGCACCTAGTTGACAGACGACTGGACGATGACGCGTGTCGCGACAGCATAAATCAAAATACGGCGCTACTAGCGGTGAGAGTTCAGCGTCGATCGGCAATCATAATGTTTACCGCATCACCTCTGTCGAGTCGCTCAGAATTGTACAACACTGAGCCTCATTTTTTAAGTGCTCCGTGAAACATTGATGATTATTATCGAGAGGCAGCAAGATTTATAGCAACTATTTATCGATGAAAAAAAACTTGAGAAACACTTAGTAGGATGTAAGCTTGTACTTTCGTCTTCGTTGAATTTGTATTTCCGCGAAAGGAAGATTGTTACTTGATTTTGAAACTCTTACACAGTCGCTTTTCGACCTATTGGGAAAGCAGCGAAATCGATTCATTGAGCGGTCGACGTATTTATTATTGAAAAAAACCTTTGCCTTCCCGAATTCGTATTTTTGTAAAAGATTATTTCTATCTCGGACGTAAGGTACAATGTACGTTCGAGAGAGCAATGAGACAAAGCAAAAAGAAAACACGCTGATGGAATATTATAATAATAATAATCTATGGTAAATCAAAAATTTACGCCTACGGAAGATTATATGAGAATGATATTATAATAGCCCGCTAATGTTAACGTTAGAGATATTGTAAAACTTTCACATACTGTATTACGAGTTAGCCGAAATTACCACATAAGCAGCAAAATGATTAAAATCAAGTATGGAACTTTGCTACATGTCCTTCGGAATGTTTCAGCACGAAAGCGACACTGTTACTATTTTCGGGTGCGTGTCTATTTGCGCTGAGATCGGTTATGACAAGAAATCTTGACAGAAGAATGCAATCGGTTCGAGGCATATTTTAATCGATTTCGAGCGAGAAATCGACTTTAAATTATGTAGTTATCATTATTGTTTGAGTTGATGGCAAAAAATAACTAACGACTAATATTATGTTTCGTAGATTGTTTTTTGCACCACTCGCGATTGTAAATGTTATTATATGTATTTTATCTTTGATTTTAGCTAGCAGTAAGAGTAATATTATTCGTACAATCATATTATCGTTGTACTTGGTAATTCATCACAAATAATTATTTATTGTTAATGTTTAGATATTTTAAATATTTGTTATTACTGTTGAACTTTTACTTTTTGGCAAATATTTCTATCGAATCGACGTCGTGAATATTAATGAAAATTTTGTCGTTCGAAATTTTTAATTAGTACTGTGCGGGCGCTAATAACTCATGCGCGCGTGCACAAGGCGCAGCGTAACTTTTCTGTCAAATAGCAAAATGCACCAAAGGGAACAGTGACATCGTCGCTTGCAAATATACATAATACATTTAAGCTACGATATGAATTTGTGCGGCTCATTTGCGAGCAAGGAACGTGTACATTAAGCCGAAAAAACAAATAAGCATCGTTCAGAAATCAGACAATACTACCGTTTTAAAAAGAAAACAAGGTTAGCTAGTAAATTAGGGCCAAGAATTAATCTACATAAGACACGCCGAATAATTAAGCAAAAACACAACACACGACGAAGCTGGACGGAGGGCATTTAGATTATACCAGAGGGAAGATCATATGTAATTGATATTTTCATTTACATTTCTTTAGGTGTACATCTTACGAATATTACTTTGTAAACGAGGTTATCGCGCCCTACAACTTACGTTATTCATTTTTGTGTTTACTAATACGATTATTTAATACTTGTGTTGAGCACTTTAGCTTTGGCCATTTTCGCTCGCGAGACGACTACTTTCGACCAATAAATTTCCTTTAAAGAATGATTTCTTGACTTTCATTTGGGAAAGCACGTCGATGTGTACGCTTGTCCATGATAAAAATGACGAATTTCTTACACGATGGGGGGACGCTGGAGAGCGAGCGACGAAGGAAAGCAAATAAAACGGACTTCGCAAGAAAGAGAGCAGCAGAGCTTCTAGTCGGTACTATTATGTGAAACACGTGTTTGTGTGCACGTGTAGGCTTCGCCGTCTCCTCGTCTTACTATTAATGTCTATATATAACTGCGAGCCGCGGCCATTTTGCCGATTCGCGTGCTGGCGCATCTGTCAAAACATATCTTCTCGGAAATAATGTGTATCTTTAGACGCGAGCACGCGCGTCGCGGGGGACGTGAGATTGAGTGAGAGAAAGATTAGGGTCGCGTTGTGATCCGCCGTGCGAGATTGTGGCTCTGAAGGGGGACGACCGTGGCTATCTTCGCCGTCTCTGATTTTTCCGCGAGTTTCGAGCGCGAGAGAAACGGAGATCGCATACTTTTCCGATACGACTGTGCCGTTCGGCCTGGCTTTTGCTGTGCTTCGTCAGCAGTGAAACGAGATGGGTTGGGTTAACCGAAAGAGACCAAACGACACGGCTTTATTATCGTTTCTCAGTTTGCGTCGACGTTTATTGCTGCGTTGAATTAGCACTAACGATGTTACTATGCATTGTACACTTGAAATACAAATAAAACCTAGTCTAATACTATTTCAAACACAGCGTCTTTCTTTTTCATTTCGAAAAATAACATTGTTGCAAAATAAAATGCTATGTACAAACATAGCAAACTATTCGGATTGATTATTGATTATCAACACTTTTTAAATACATTACAGTCTTTCGTTAAATAGATGTGTCATTTGCGTCGGTAAGTATTTCAAAAACGTATATTGTTATTGAAGCTCAATGAAGCTCGCAAGCTAAGGTACAGTTTTCGCGTGAACATCGACAATTAAGTATATCATGAGAAAATGTGAAATCGCAGTAAAAAATCAAGATACTCAAACGCTCCTGCAGGAGACGCAACATCGCCGTCTAAACGCCGCGTTTCTGCAGTAGCTAATTAAATCCTTCTCAACGCAAAATTGGCTTTTATCCTTGCGACATCTGGATCCACCGCACTCGGGACTATGTCTGGCAAACCCCTTGCAAACTCGAGTCTCGTCCGGCGCGTAAGTCGCGTTGCACGAATCCAACAGCAGGTGCTGGTATTGGATCCGAGATCGGCCGATCGAGCCTCGCACGCAACGAGCTTTACGCACTTGGACACCTCGGCCGCAGCTCTGCGAGCACTGCGAAATCAACAAATTTTCGTGACCATTGGAAGCCTGGATGCCCTCTGCTTTTGAAAACCAGTTTCCGCCACATGCAGTCTCTCACCGGTGACCAGTCGGCGTAGATCCAGTGGCCGGCGCACTGTGCGCTCCTGGTGCACTCGCGCCGAGTGGGCGGTTGACTTTGACCGCGACATCTGGCCGGCAGCACGGTGTTCCTGTAGACTCGGAGCTCATTTTCACGCGTCACCTGGTGCTCGCCCAGCACCGATCTCACGCAGTAGATCCGCCTCTGCTGCTTGCCAACGCAACTCGACGCCGACGCGAGATTGCATCGCTCCCACATGCCGGGAATCCACGTGTATTCCAAGTCGCAGCTGCAACCAGATTGCGAAAAAATTGCGCGAAGCGATTTGACCCCTGGCCGTTCCTTTACCGGCAGCAGCTTTGTAGGCTGCATATTATCTTCCAACGAGTTGCCGAGGAACAGGCGAAAAATTTACGGTCGAGAACGAGGCTCGCAAGTACTTTCCTCAAAGTCCCGACGGACGTCGACTCGGGTAAAAAATATTAGATCGTCGCAATTCGGAGGCGTTCGGCTTGTTGACGTTACCCTTGATAGCAAATCCGACGCGACATTGCACCAACTCACCTGTGAGTGTTGCACCTTTCAACGTCGGGTCGTCCAGGCGGTTTGAGGACAAGGAGGCATTTCCTGCGAGACACCAGCTCCCCGGTCAGCTCGTCCTGACACAGCAATTGCTTGCGCCTTATACCTCCGCCGCAGCTCACCGAACACGGACCCCAGGGCCCATCGCTGTACCACGCAAATCTGCCGCCTTCGACGTTCGATTCCGAGCGGGATAGCGTGTACTGCCATGATGCGGCTACCGAAGCTCCGGTTCTTACGATTACACGGCTGGCTATGAACTGTGAACAATTCCGAAAGTGATGGCTTCTGGTGGGTACGGCCGTCAATGCAACGAGTACTCACTTGCCGAATCGATAACGAGTCCTCGGTAGGCGTTACAGTTAATTTAATATCTTTAATAGGAATTTTGCATATCCGAAGATAACGCGAAACCATTCTCACCGAAACCACAATGCTCGACGCGACGGGTCCTCTGCTCCACAGTACGTATTTTTCTGCAAGGCGCTCGAGGCGAAAGGCGGCCCCTCCGACGACGGTGACTGCAGCTCGACCATCGGCATCAAACTCGCCCATCTCGTGTCGCCTCCTTTCCGCGTCGCGCATGACGATTTTCACATTTCCCTCGTGCGGCACGGCATCCATCAGCAGAATCGTCACGACGACTTTCACGTTGTAAGCGGCCCTCGGCACCACCGTCAAACGCGTCGTTTCTGCGACAAACCAACATTGATTCGCATCCACGAGGCGCGAGCTCGCAGTTCTAAGCTTTGTGCGCGGCTACTCGCAGCTGGCCGACAAGCTTTCGCAGACTTTGGCCCGAAACTAGTCGATTTGTCGAGCGCCTCGTCGACGTTTACGTACCTCGACGCAGCTTCCGCTGGAACTTGTCGCTGAAATTCTCGCAGGTTGAGTTGTCACCGGAGCACACGCCGCACACGTCTCTCGCGCGACCCGAGTCCAGCACACCGTCGCATCCCATTGGTCGGCACGTGCCCTGCAATCGACGAAAGGCCCAAGCTACGTGCAAATCTCGCACAACGTCCAGCGGCAAAAATGTTCCGAGAGCGAACTCACGCCAAGGCAAATGTCCGTGGTCTCGTACGAGCACGGAGCGGCATCTTCCACGTCCAGTCCAGTGTGAAAGATCTCGCCTGTCTCTTTGCGGTAGCAGACCAGCTGGCAATCGGGGCTGCCGTCGAAGTCCTCGTAGGGCAGCCACGTGCCGTTGTTGTCGAAGAGGTCCGCCGTCGAGTCCGCGCGAAGCTCGAAAAAGCGCGAGCACTGGCGCGCTCGCGGATCCACGGGCTCCGGGCACGCGGGCTGCTCGCAGACTCGATACTCTTTCGAGTCACCCTCGCACCTGTCGACGGACAGTCGGACAGTCGATGCCGCTCGCGAGCGGAAGAAGGAGCTCTCGACGCGGTACCCATCGCGGAAGACCGGCGACTCGCGGGACAGCGCGCGGTCGAGCGCGCGGCGAGCCGAGTTAAGATAACCGCGCTTAACTTGCCAGCAAATTCACTTACGAGCCACTGCAGTGCCGAGTTCTGTGCTGCACGGCGAGACCGCAAGTCCTCGAGCACTCGCCCCACGGGTCCCAAGCAGCCCAAGTATGCTCGGCGGCCCTGCCGCGCACTGCCAGAGGCGTCGGCTCGTGGCGCTGCTGCTGATCGATCGCCTCGCATACGCCGTCTATGCACCACTGTTCAATCGCGCAATCAACTTTACGTGGGTCCACTCGAGATCACCCGCGCGAGGCGCGACGGCCAACGGCCTTGCTTTGATATTCCATCGATCAACGTTGCATGCGCGCGGCAGTGCAGCTGAACGTGGAAATTCGGAAATTCGGCCGAGCACGGGTCTGCGCGTTAAAGAGTAACTACCCGCGCGCTCGCCGTAAGCGCGTAAGCTCACCTTGTTTTCGGCGCAGAGGGTGCCCTCGATCGGAGGTCCCTTCTTGGTCTTGCATCTCGGCTGCAGCGAGTCGTTCGCCCGGCCGCACCACAGATGCGCGCACAGCTCCGCAGGCTCCGTGCTCCTGCAGCGTCCGTATCTACACGCGTCAACGCGAGCGTTATTTGCACGTTGTTTGGACGTTGTTTGGCCGCGCTGTCGCACGTCCGCTCGCGGGCTATCTTAATAATAGAACAGCGCGAGCGACGATTATTTCCATCGCCGTGCATTAAATTGTCGTGTCGACGGAGCGAAACGCGTTATTTCACTCGGAGCGCATCGGCTCCCTCGCGAGAGCGAGTCCAAAGTTACGATGCGCGCGCGCGCCTAACTCCCGCCGTAATCGCAGTCTCGATGGCGTCTAGCGCGCTAATTGCAGCGAACGCGTCGATAGCTTGCTTTGACGTCCAAGTAGGCCAGGTTCTCGAAGGGGACAAAAAAAAAATAACGAGAGAGGATGCTCGTAGCACGCGGCTGTTTTTGGACGGAGAGACCGCCGAGTCTGCCCGTCGGACGAGACCGAGGTACGAGCGGTTATATTACGGGCGCGGCGACGAAGGGCGCGAGCTTTATAAGTTGCTAATAGAGGACGTTAGGACGGGAAAATCGAAAGCAGATGAAACATTCACGTGGATTCACGGATAAACGACCAGCCAAAGCTCCAGACGCGCGTTGCAGCGTAATTTTATTCGAAATCGCTCGAGAAACAATGTCCGCTCTCAGGTTTCATTTAACTTTCATGTGTGTCGAACGCGGTACGTGGCTTGTAAATAAAACAGTTGTCGACCCACCCTTCGCCAAACTCCATTCTACATTGATCGTCCATGCTGAACATTTGCATGTGCGGGCTGTTCCTTGCATTTTCCGCGCTGCTTGCCCTAGGCTCGTTGCCCAGACACGACCAGTGCCTAAAAGGAAACACAGCGTTTTCGTCAATATCGCATTTATATTCGCGAAAACCTATGACTGCAGCTCGTACTTGGCTCTTCCGTGAAACTCTTTTCGGGAACACGTCGACCAGTGAAAATTATGAAAGGTCGCGGCGACCATTGGAGCCATAATACTGCCTCTGGCCGCTTCTTTTGCACACGAGTTTCCAGCATTTTTGTCGCCATCGTGCGACAGACCCAGTCTATCAAATCACAATAACAACTAGTCAAGCATCATAATATACAAAATCAATGATCAATTTTAGCTCCAATGATGTAGCCCTCTAACAATACTACCGTGTTATATTACTTACAAGCCGTTTCCATTATTCTCGTTCATTAGAGTATAATAATAATACAGTACAATAACAAACATAATGCTACGTCAATAAATTATTCTCGAGCGCTGTAAGCTCGTCATGCAGATACAATGAAAATGAAAACTAAACCAACATATGAGCGACTTCGTGAGCAATGATGAATGCACTAGTGAGGCCTTCGTCGCGATTGAGAGCGCAGGATCTGGCAGGATCGCAAGCACCGGACACAGGCGCATAGCCCGAGGGCCCACCAATGTCGAGTCGCGTAAGCCACACGGCCACGTCGTGGCGTGTACTCCCGTTCACCTGCTGCTGCTGCTCCTGCTGCTGCTGTTGCTGCTGCTCTGTATCCAACAGCTTGCGGTTCCACTTGTTCACGTTCTCGAGGGATCTCCTTGCGTTACCGTGCTGCACCTGCCCACCGCACACGAGAGAGACGGCACTTTAGACGAGTAATGAGATTGTCTCGCCTAGGGAATATTGGGCGTTTGAATGTTTCTGCGCGACAGACCATTGTAACCGATCATTATTCTTTCAATTAACGAAGTCGAACTTTACGCTTGGAAAATTTTCTCCGTTCCTTTTTCGCCGTCTCTTTATCAATTTTTCATATCCAACGCGATATCCGATAGTCTATTTTTTTTTACTTTTTTATATCCATTTATTTTGCCGCGGCGATGAACGATATTGCGTTCTATTGCAACCGAAAGTTTTCCGCCAACGTGAACGCTTTTTTTCAGTACAAAAAAAAAATAACAAATAAATTCAGACATTTCAAAATTAAACTCACCATCCCGTCCTTTTTATCCGTGTAAAATATCATTCGAACGACCACTAGCTGCATATTTGAGTCGAGAGTCGGATCTTTGTAAATTGAACTGACCTGCAAGATAAAGAAAAGCCGTCGTAAACTAAAGTGGATATCAATGAAAGAATTTACAAATAACCGCGCTTGAGAATAGAAACGAAATTCGCGAAGCAAAGTTGATTGACAATCAGTATCAATCTCAGCAATTTGAGCGACTTCCGAAAATGGCGCTTGACAGACTCTAACGCGTTTGTCGGCTTATCCTTCGACTCCAGTGCTTATCAGGACGGTGCTACCGGCGATTTCACTTTAGGAGCACTCTTAAAACTCGCGGGCGCCTATAGTAGTAACTTGAAACTTGGCTAATGATGTTGATCCGTGCGAGCCCGATTTCTTGATCCCCTTAGCTTTCATTCGTCGGCAATGAAGTAGCAATCGAATCGGAATCCCGTTCTTAGATCGAACGACGCAAAAATAATGGCTCCGCGACAGCGAGGACAGGCAAACTTACGATATTGAGCAGCGCTAAGATGTATTGCTGGACTCGAACCCCGTGGAAGTCGATCACCGAGTAGTCGGCCGCTATCGCCAGCTCCAGCCACTTTGGAGTCGAGTACTCGTTGGCTGCGTTCCGAGCTAGCGGATCGATTGAATATTTAATCCAATAATTTACGCGGTATTCATCGTTCGATCGAGCTTACTTGGAAGCTTTTCCTTTGGCCAGCTCTTGCCGTAGAAGTATTCTACCCCGTCGTCATCTTCGGCTCCGGGTACGTTCTCCTGGAGTTGGTTGTTCCTGCCAAGATCGCTGTGCTCGAGCAGCAGTTCGGGGCTGTCTTCGTAATTTTCCGCGTGGAAGGTGTCGCCGGATAAATTGTAAAAGCGCCTGTTCGCCTCGTAAATCAAGGGGGTCGCCGACGAAGAGGTCGATTCGCGGCGCGTGCGCGAGAACTCGGCCTCGTACAGCAAATGTTCGCTGCCGTTGGCCATCAGCGGCTCGACGAAGTAAGTCCTGTTGTCCAAATTGACCATGCCAAAGAACTGGTCGTTGCAGGAGGTCAAGATCACTCGCGAGGTGGCCTCCAGGCCGTGAATGGAGCCCTCCCTTATATCGCAGGAGTCGAGGGCGTGCGAGTGCCCGGCCGACGAGGCTCGAGTGCCTCGCCACTCGACGCCGAACCGGGGCGAGAACGTCAGCTGACGATTGGGCTCGGTCCTGAGTATCCACTCGCTCAGAGAAACAAACTGCACGTCACGCGGTAGGGTGGTTGGCGCCGGTGCGTCGGCGGCGGAGCGCCGATCGCGAGACAGCTCGGCGCGCGGTATGACGCGCGGATGCACGATCCGCGGGTAGCGGCGCACCTGGTGGCCGTGGGCATCCGCGTCGGCGAGAACGATCGCGTGCAGCAGTACGATCGAGACGCGAGCGAGCGAGCTCGTCAGCCAGCTAGTCATCGTGCTTGGCACCCACGCCGAGGCTGCGCGACGTCTATCACATGGCTTTTCACCGGGAATAACACGTCACTCGGCCACGCCGTCTGCTTATTGTAGAGCGTCAGTTGATGCTTATAATAACAACGCTCTGTTTTCCTAACTCTTTGCCTGCGTTCTACACCCGCTTTCAATTAAGTACACACGTCCCTAAGTATCTTCATCTCGCCTTTCCTCGCGTTTCCGACGGCAGCCACGGAAAAATCATCTTTATAAATACATCCTCGGGAGCGAGCGTCTCGCTCGTGCTCGAAAGACTCACGCCGGTTGACAAGCCGCTAACTTTTCACAGCGACCAAGGCCCCGTGACGAGGACCGTCGCATCTCCCGCCTGGCGCACTCGCGACGGCAGAACGGACACTGCTCGCGAATCCGTGAAGAATTGAACGATTGACACCGAGTCGGGCCCGTCGCTCGGTCTCGCTTGGCGTTCCGGCTCGAGGTGGTGTGCACGCGTGAGCGCGAGCAGCCGAGAGGCGACTGGCCGCCACATGGCATCTGCTCAGCGAGGAAGCTCGCGTCATGGGGGCAGATCGTCGACTGAGGGAGAGAGAAGAGAGAGAGAGAGAGGGACAAGACGACTCGACGCTTCGCGGCATTCTAATAATGGCAGCTTTATGTGTCGAGTAAGCGCGACTGCGGGAGGCAGCCCGACGATCTCGACATGCTGCGGTCAGTGTTCGGGTGCTCGCTCGGTTCAGTTTGGCTTGGAGGACCCGTCTGCCGATGTTCTCTTGTTCGCGCCGCTTTCGGAGCGCGCAGGCGAGACGATCTGGTACCACTGACCACTGCGACTTTCGACTTCCTCGAGAGACACGCGCGCACGCTCTCAACGGCAACCGGCTGCCCCATTCTATTTTCCACGCGCTCGCTTGCTCTCTCCCTGTCCTCTGCTGCCGCTTGCGAAGCTCCGCTACTGTCGCTTCGTCGCGTTCGTCGCCACGGAAGTGCAGCGACATGATTTTCACTGTTTCGCGGGTATTTTTGAGGTTTCTAGCAACGAAGTAAATAACGCGCCAGACGTTCACCGAAACCATCTGGAGGAGTCTCATTGATTTTACATCTGTCAACGGAGGCTACTTGGCAGCAAACAAACCGATAAATCCAAGCCATCGTGGCGTCGTTAGTTGCTTCGAAATTTCTCAAGATTTGTTTTGTTAAACTGCGCGTTAAACAATGTCGCGCTCGGATAAATTTTCACGGCGATGCCGCGACCCTAGCTGCAACTCCAATTTTTCGCCTAAGAACCTCAAATTATTTGATGCCCAAGAGCGTTTAAATATAGTTCACGCGATAATTTTACTCCACGAAGAACATCCAGTAATCAAATACTCAGCTGCCTCTCGAAACATGGAACTTGTGCATTGTCAGTTCGCGCAAGCATTTCACGGAACGTGCATAAATTTCATCCTGCCTGCCAGTTTCGCAATTCGCGCGAATTTGTTAATATAGTTGCTGGATGCTTAATAGCATTTTGAAAAAAGAAAAATTCACGAAGCAATCATCGCTGTCGAACATTTCAAAGATGCAAATGACAATTTCTATCGCGCTGACGAATTCAGAGGATTCGCGAGTAAAATTTCAAGAAACAACGACTAAGCTCGTACAAGCCAAGAACGTAAGCAGCGATGTCTGGATAAGTTCGAATTTTGGAAAACGTCGCTTGCAGCTTACCAAGAAACATCGTAGCGCCGGGAATTTCATTGACTTGGACTTTATATTCGCAGCATTCACACAAACGCCCCAGGCTTAATTGCATTTAATAAGCAGGTTCTAAAACACGTCATGCACGGAGAGCGGCGACAAAGGCAATTGTCAATCTCCCGGGGAGCGTGTTTGCGCGTTCATGCTCTGCTCGGCTAACGAGAGAGAGATAGCACTCTGGAAATAGGCAATGTTTAACCTCGTCTACCGAAACCCAGCTCGATGAGGCGAATTTCCTCTGCGATGGACTTTTCTGCCGTAGGTTTATTATATGTCAACGTAATAATTTCCAGGCTTACGTACTACCCCGATGCATATAAATTTCACGTATCTCGTAAGAATCCAATAAAATAGGGTGGAAAGTTTGACGATTAAGAGAGAAATTTATTCGTAATCAAATAAATGATTCTATCAAAACGAGAATTGCGCAGATTAAAAGTATTTAACGACTTTGATAGTTGTTGCCTCATTAGGCACGTATACTCCAAGTTAATGATGAATATTATCTTGAAAACCTGAGCGCCGAGTATTAATTGTATTGATACAGAATATTATTCAGATATTATTTAATTTTTCAATTTTTTAATTTTTCTCTTTTGCTCATTAGTAGTGTACGGAGTATTATCATATAAATGATTGCTTTCAAGTCAGCTTGTCTCACCACCCATTAAAGCAAACACTCAATAAGCGCAGAACTGGGTAATCAAACTGTCTTGTCCATTCTCATTAAAGGCGTAATGCGCGTCCGACGGGTATCGAAGACAGATGAAAACATTAAAATCTGTTGAGTATTCTTATGCTTTCTGTAAAAAAAGAGAGCACTACCTTTAAAAACAATCGAATATGTTGAAAACGTTGGAACAATTTGCTCCAAGACATTGTTCGACCACTCTTAAAGGCACATCAAGCTGTGATAGCTAGGTCTGAGTGACGTCAAGAACAGCAGTAATCGTGGACATTAAGCTCTTTTTATTTCGATTTAACAGCATTTCGAGTTCTAACCTTCAGCCAAGAAATTATAAAGAATAAGAGACTTTTTTTTTCAAGTTTACTTTCTTTCTTTTTCTGTATGCAATAAAAAGCAATTGTCGAAAAAAATAAATAAATAAAATGGCGATTTAATTTTCGAATGTGAGCAATTTTCAACGGTATTTTCAAACATCAACGAGTATATAAAAAATTAGACAGCATTAATAAGTAAGAAAAACTGAGTCAACATATTTATTATATTATTCACAGCGAATGTCACGAAGGATAAAGAGTGAATGTAAGAACAATTTGTAATATGAGAGCTAAAATGAATTCAAGCTCTTTGAGGATGAATTCATTGGAGGTACCGTTGCCGGTATTACATAAAGATTTGTCACAACAGCTGGTGCAGGCGTAAAGTTTCGTACGCTCGCCGATGACGATGCAGCCAGGCTCACATTTATTTGTGCAATTACGTTCATATCCCCAAACCATTGGCTGGGACGTCATATTTTCCGTACTTGTCGTGTACGAGAAGCGTTTCACCTGTGAATAATCAACAAATATATAAGAAAAGTAGTTTCAACAATTCACAAATATTTATTTCTTAAATACTACTGATTTCAATTTGATAATGTTTCAATATAAGCTTATTTTTATGTAATTTATATTATTTTTTCCAAAATTATTGTTTTATAAACGCTTGAAAAAATGAAACATTACATCACATGTCTGTACTTATGAATGATTTCGGTTAATTGACGGATTTTATAAAAAAGTTATATGAATCTTACAGCTTTGATAAAATATACTTGTTCGTTTGCACATAGCAACATTACGATAGCGCTTTTTTTATTGATAACGACGGTGTTTTTTTAAGCAATTAAAAAATTGATCAAATGTATTACGATGATCCTTCTTATCTCATATTTAATCTTTCAAGATGAAAACATTGGCATATTTGAAAACAATTAAATATGTTTTCGATAGCAGAGAGATAAAATAAAGTTTTTTATTATTTAAAATCACATTATCAAAACAAACATCGTAAGAGATAGTTTTTAATGTATCGTCATAACAACGTACCATGCAGGTGCGCTTGTCATTTTTGCATTTTTGTATAACAGACGTGTGATTATGAGTGACGTCCACGCACATTTCTCCATGGTCAATAGTGTCGCATTGGTAGCACCATAAATCATCTTTTCTCTCAGACGCCGCATGTGTTCTGTGTTCCTTTCCCATCAGTTGACCTGCAGACATACAAGAAAGGTTTCAGATAATTGATTTGAATCGAGCAGTGAAAAAAGTCTTTCAACGTTGACAAAAACAAACTTATTTTTTATTGTTCAGAACGATTACTTGTACGTTGTTCTACAACAGCAAAGACACATTGCAATCTCGCGAATAAAGAAAGCCAATTCAATTCATTGTCCTACTTTTCACGCAGCTCACATTTAAAAATTTAAAAACTTGAGTTAAAAGTTTCATTGTTGTCATGAACTCGTGACGTCACGTCGACTGGATTCAAATAATGCAGACATCACAGCATCACTAGCAACTTGTTCATCATTGTTGTACGATCGCAACAAAAACCTTTGATATTTACTCGACTGTTAAATACTTCACGAAATTAAAAACGCGTTGACAACAATTAGATAATAATTTGAAGATCTGCTTACCATCAATATTAGTAGCGAGGAAGACCGCAGCAAGGAAGAAGTATACCAACAAAGCTTGCCATCCATGTGTCATGATCCTTGGTAAACAAGCGAGTGGTCGTTCTATTAACGCAAAATCATCTCGATGATGAAAGTGAAATGTTTGAAAACAAAAGGCTGGTGCACGCTCGTGGCTACAGCCTATTAGTAGCCACAGCAGCCTGGGCTCGCTGCTGCACGTCGCCATCTTCGGAGAGACTTCGCTGTCTCTCTCTCTGTCTCTCGTCTGCGTCGGCGCACGCGCGCAGCAAGCTTGCAGCTGGAAGCTTGACGCGGTGCACTTACGTTTGCACGCGCTGACTTTCGGCGTTCAATCGAAATTCGTCGGTCGACGAATAAATTCGGCGCTTCGAACCGAGCGCACACCGTGGCGAGCTGGAAAACGAGTTTTTCCGTAGCTCGTCGCGAAGGCGAAAGCGCGGAAGACGGGAAATCTGGGACATTGATTGAACAACCAGCGTAAGAGGGGCGTCTGCTCCAGAAATCCGGAAATCGATTCTCTCGTTACTCGGTTACGGGCCACTTCGTTCGGCCAGAATCCGGACACGCGTCTCTCGCTCTCGCAGCGCGCACCTTTCTCGATTTCCGCGAGCACGCACGTACGTTGCAGCGAGGACAAACTCTGCTATATACTCGACTCGGCTCTGGAGCCGCCTGCACTAACGTTCCGTTATACTTCGCGCTTTATTGATTCAATCGACAACTTTGATTCTGCTCTCGAGCTTAAAATTGGATGTGCGCTTGCGACGTCCAATTCGCCGAGGATTCGGTATCTTTTAGGAGAGTCGTTCAAATCGATGCGCATGACTCTTCTCAAAATGGATAAATATCAATGGGTAGTGGCAAATAAAATGCTAAGGCAGTTTACGTCTCGTTCTCACGCTGATCACTTAATTCATTATCCGAGGGATATGCCAACGTGCCTAACACACTCCTTAACTGACGCACCAATTAGCGTGGATCCTCGCGCGTGACCTCTTGGTGCTTGTTGCCTCATACTCGTACCGCTGACGTATATGCGAGGTACCTGTTGAAAACCGACGCCACGTGCTAGCTTGACGTATGTATTCGTCTACCGAGCGTTTGGAAAGCTTACGAAGCCCAGATTGCCATCTCCGTTATACTTTGATGTGCGCCTATCATTAGAACGGAAAATATTCTTTATATTCGTTTGCGAATCGCCAATAATGCGTGATGTTGTGACACTGGGATGATAACGTAATGTCCCAAAAGAAACGGTACTAAAAGATGCTCAGCTCGTTGAGTGTCCGCCTGTCTGTCCATCGGAGTAAAACAATCAAGCTCCCTTGAAAAAATTTCATACCGTAACGATATTTCTTTTTTTTTTTTAATTTCGCAAAGCATAATGCTATCTTCGCTTATGCACGACGAGATACGTATAATAAAGCCGCGGATTACGCTGAATGGAGGCATTACGTTGAGCAAGGAGTTCCTTTCAGCCTGGGGTTTCTACAGATCTTGCTTTTAGCCGGCACTCCCATGTGTACAGGGTCCAGAGCTCAGCCACGCTTGATTATAAGTTCGGCTAGCGTGTGGCTTGTACCATCGAGCTGCGTGGTTTTCACGCTCACGGTCAACGAAACGAAGGTCTCCTGTGTATCATTTAGCGTCATCTATCGATTGCTCTTTCATATGAACATTTTAAACTATGTGTTATGACTTTATTTTTGACGAAATCTTTCTCTCTCTCTCTCTCTCTCTCTCTCTCTCTCTCTCTCTCTCTGGATTAACTTCACTCGGACGTGCGCAGGGATTATTTTACGTCCCTGTTCATATACAAGTGCTTGCGAATGCACGAGCCTAGCTACGTAGCTGTTCTTTAATTAACATAAACCAAGGTATTCGGGTAGGGTAGGACAGGCGGAGCTGAGGATTGCCGAGACGAGGACTGAGATGGCCGGCAGGTCTTTCCAAATAATGGATGCTCGTCTCTAGAACTCTCTTTCTCCGGGCCTCAGGCATGTGCCACCGCTGGATTGCTTTAAGAGAGGGGCGCGGGCGCACTTTTATGCGCTGGATGCGTAAGCCAATGGAGAGTGCTGTTGGAGCTATTTATTTATTTATTTATTTATTTGGACGCTGACATAAGTGTCTTTTCATGTATTTCTGACTGCATTACTAGCTGTAAGTAAATCCTTCTCTAGTCGTGCGATTTTAACGCAAATAATTTCCGGTTCAATTTCAAAATTCTAGTCCAATATTTAGTCTAATTAATTACAAGTTTTTTTGCATTATACATTTTTTATGACTTTAGACTTTGACTGAGGAAATTTACATATTTATATATATATTTATATTTCCACTACATTGTAATAATATACTGTGATTACTTTAACCAAATAATTAAGAAGAAAATGTATTGTTACTATGGTAATTTTACTATTGTATTGCTAATACTGGAAATTATATAAATTGTTTTGTTTTGCTAAAAGTAAATAAAAAAAGAATTATCAATCTCTCTCTTTCGGCATTTAACGAAGAAAATCGGACATGAAATTTGCTTAGTCATGCTTATAGCAAAAATGGGTCTATCGTTTTAAAAATAACCTCGACAAAGAGATAAATTAAATCACATTTTTTTTATGTTCGTGGTACGTAGTAAAATAAGCGGTAGCAAAGAATAGCTTCATACCATATAATAGAAAAATGTGAAAATTGTTACTTCGTGCTCGAAATAGATATAATCAATACTTGCTTTATTTCTTTGAGACCTTTTGGCGGTATAGAATTTTACTTTGAACTGTGGATAGATATGAAAAAGAGGATTATTTGATTTAACGAGCTTGCTTTACTAAAGAATCTATTGAATGTTCATTTGACTTTGTTTGATCCATCTGTAGTTAATTAAGGAGTGCATTAGTAATCCGACAAAATTTTAAAACGTGAATAGATTTCTCATTCATTCAATTATTACTTGACATTATTAGCCAAAAATGGAACTTTTACGATCAAACTTACTATGGTCAATGTTAATGAAATCGAAAAATAAAAATTAGCTCATAACCTATGACAGGCGATGTAGTTGCGCTGGACTTTCCATGGGGTCCAGTATCCGGAATCCAGATCACGTTCGACCGCCCAAGTATGTGTAGATGTGCGTGCGCGTAAACTCCGGCGTAGAATAGTGACTTTATCTTTTTTTTTTGCTGCGTCAAAGCGCAAACTCGAGGATAACTCACAAGCGAAAGAGCCACTGCTGAGTCACTTTGAGACGCCGCGAATGAACTACGTCTGTGGCTTCATGGCGATCGAGCACTTTGTTGGCTCGCCAAAAGACCTTACAGCTGTATACTTGCATTTCTTGTTTATTCGCTGTGAGATAAAAAAAGTGGTTCGTTGAACGGCAAGACGCGGCGACGTGTGTACGTGGACGAGTATGTGACTCGTTGAACTGAACCTCCCTTTTGTATTAGTGGCATGCGCTCTGAGTGAGCTCTTAGACAGGCGTGCTAAAACATGAGGTACGAGGATCAGGGAGATTCGTTAGTGGAATGACTGCGAAAGCACCTACCTAGCCAGAATTAGAAGTTAGATCGGGCCTCACAACTGCCTCGCTGATTCGCCGCGTTTTCACTCAGCCAGCTAAATACACATTGTTAAATTTAAATGCGGATCTTGGCTTTCCGTCAAAATTAATTGAATTATTCTTATAAAACCTCTGATTGCTCTGGCAGTGGAAAAAAGTCCATCTAATACATGGACAGAGAAACTACGTCATTTCCGGGGAATTTCCGGAGCCGATCGATGCTATAGCAGCTAGTTTAGTTGATTAAATTTCAACAGCCAGTACTCTCTGAACTCTCTGGGTGTGGTGCGCCTCTGGGCGAGTACCTACGGCTCAGTAGCGAGGTCGATGAGCGTATAGAACTCGAGTATCACGGTTTACATAAGGTTTCACGTTATAAACATCTGACAGATGCTCTTGATCACGAGAAAAATATATAGAAAGAAATAAGATGCCGAGGCCTCCTACCTAGAGGCAATAAGACAGAACTTCACAGCTTCTTGTCGGTGTTTGTCTCTCCATCCCAAAACATAGAAGACGTAATGGACACAATAAAAACTGCAAGCGAGAAAGATTTTGCTTTCAAATCTGTAAATTATAATAACGTTGTACATGCGGAAACCTATTTTTTTTTGTCGTGATAGATACCTACTTTTTGACCGTATTTAGCTCCTCCTTTGCCCTGGGTATCCTGGAAACTAGTGCAGCTAAATTCTCTTAAAAAGAGCAGCATACCATCCTCTGAATTGGACTTTCGTCTGATTGCACTGTTATGCTTCCTATTTAAAACGCTCCAGAAGCTTACCCATACCAAATTACAGAGTATCTCAACAAAAATAATTTACGTGATTCCTTCTAGTCTGTTTCCAGGAAACACCACAAGACAACCCAGATAACACGTGCACGGCCATTGGCACAAAGAAGGTGACATTATTATTACTTGTTTCTTATTGAGCCGTCGACTTTGGACTGCACCTCAGTGCGGAGAAACGAAGATATTCTCGTGGACTCCAGCAAGAACGGTAATACCATTCAAGCTAGGGAGCCACTGGATGTTGAGGTGCGAGAAGAAGTGTTCGTTTTTTTCAACGACAAGGTAATTAGTTTAGGTGATACTTTAGATTCCAAACGTAAGAGAATATCATACGCTGACCAAGACACGAAAAATGTCAGCGGAGTGCTTTGCAGACTGTCCTTCATCAGATCTTGCATCACATAGGCACTTCGCCGAAGGTTGTTTGTATCCATGATTCAGCCACATATGGACTAAAGCGCTATTGTATCCTGAACGCCTTCCAGAAGCAACGCGTGTGACTACAAAGACTAAGTAATTTGTGTGTGAGGTACATATTTCTCCTACAGAAGACCTCTGACTGGCTACTCTCCTACTTGCACAAAAATGATTTTACTGCTAATGTAAAAAATTATAAAACTGCACTAACGCTCTTTCATAGCAGATTTTTTTTACTCTGTACATGCCCAGGACCACTAGCAGGGGAGAAAGGCCTGAGCTTAGCGTTCCCAGGGCGAGTACGGTGATTGGATCCTACTCTTGTCGGGTTGCGGGAGCTCACCTCTGGAAATCTATGCCATCAGCTATTCGCTGTTATCGGACGTTAGAAGGTTTCAAGGGGCGGGAGGCGGCAGTACGCTCTCACAACCTGGAACCTGATCTGTATACACTGTATATCTGTATATCTGATGGTTGGAAAGTGACCAAGATGAGTGCTTCTCCTGTCGACTCAACCGTGGTGTTATCTGTTAGGAATTCGTGTTCTGAATATGAGAAGATTCCTTTTAGCTAGACTATCTGTGATAGATTTTGACCGTTATAACAAATCTATTACCTTGACTAAAATATTTGTTCATTTGTTGCTTGACAATATGCACATAGCTTATACTTGAGTAGGTTATACTTTTGTTATCCTGAATGTTACGTAGTAAGTATAATTGGTTAGGTATTGTTACTTTTATTTATGGTAAATAAAAGTTATCACTGATTCATTGAAGGTTATCATTCTGTGTACACGAAAATCAGCTAAAGTCCGCATGCGAGCGAACCACAAGGATCCAAGCTTAATCAATGGATTCTCTTGCCGGAGATCCGATAAGATAATTGGTTGATAATGAGACCGAAAACGACGTAATTCCATCACTCCAGCAATTTCGCTAGAGAGGGCAGGTAAGCAAGCTCGAGTATAAAAGGGATCCCGGTCAGGCGTATAATGAGTCGAACGCCGAAATAGCGCCGCCGGCAGCGTCGGGCGCGGCGCTCGCTGCCGGGCCGAGATTGATTTGATAGGATGTGGCGCGCCGCGCGACCTCGCCCGACGCCGCGTAAGACGATCAGGGCTTTTGGCGCAACGCTCGCTATTTATCGCAAGACCGCTTGGCCGATAACGCGTACTAGCTCCGATCAGCTACTAGGCATGCCCCATTTGCCGTGGGAGTACGCCTCTTGGCAGCGCAATTTCGCCGATGCGTATGCTAGGCATTCAAGGAGCTTTCAATGACGCGCACCAATGCCGCAAGCCTCACGATAACAGTAAGCTAGTAGCGGCTGCGTCGCGTCAATGCGAGATACTCCATTGCGCGCAACTCGTTTTCATCTTACAGGCTTTTCATCTCTCTTCCAAGTTGAATGACCTTTCGAGGTTTATAAGCTGTAACAAAAGCCTGTAATTTTATTACGAAAAGTTATTTTCTCACTCCCTATAAAATCTTATTAATTCAGTTTACTCAGAGTTTCCCCTATTAACTGAATTTCAAGACCGCATAAATCACTTCGCCAACTTTGGCGTGAAAAAACAACGGAAACTCGTCGTCCACTGTCGCACGCTATTAAATTATTAATTAACAAGCACGCAGTTGGAGCAACGCAGCTTGACGTCGCTTCGGGGCCGGGGTGAACAGCCGACAGACAAACAAGCCCATGTAGTCGTGCGAAATCGATACGCGAGAAGAATGGAAGAACAACATCGGGTGTCCGATGTTCAAACTGATAGTTTTTAAATATCTTTTAAAGCGTAGCAAAAAAAAGAGCTCACAGGCTTACAGTTGAGAGTTCAACTATATTGGAAAAGTGCTATTTACGTTGCAGCGATCGCCTCTTTTTTTCTTTATCGTGCAACTTTACGGGTTTGTGATTTTTGCGGTCGTTGGCGCGAAATCGTCAAGTACTCGTATCCGAGTGCTTATCTTGCTCAAATTTACGTAAAGATACACCGTCTGCGATTGCCAGTTAGTTAACTGTATAATTTGCTATTCAGCCAACCCGAAAGTAAAATTGACAAGGAATCGTAAAATTATAGAAACGTCTATTGACTTATCGAGAATACTTAAATTATATTTGCGTTTACGGAAAGAAAGCTGTGTACTATATCTCAGTCGTCGATCTCGGAATGTCTATTTTCAAAGTAGTATATAGTAGTGATTTAGGTCAAATACGGGTAATCGAACGATTTGAGGATGTTTCTGTCGGTTGTCGGCAAGCCAGCTTAAATCCACTTGAACAAGATAGATTTGTACGGACTTGCATATTTTACAGTAGCTGCTCTACCTTCAAAACAGATTTATGCCAAAGAATTCATTTCCAAACAAAGATGTTTGTGGAAAACCGCTAAAGTTGCACGCGAAAGATTTCACACTGCGAACCAGGCATACTTCCAGATCTCCAAATTCAAAGATTCATTTATCGAATAATTTTGAAGTACGTTTCGATCAATCTTATCAGTCCGATAGATCATTTCCTGCGATGAATGAAAGAAATAAGTTTTGTAAATACTTTGTTGCGAGCGGAGACAACGATTAGTTTTTCATTAAAGTGGTTGCCATTTTGCATGTAGCTCAACCTATAATGCAAATAACAAAGCCAATAAATCATAATGATGTTGCCCATTCCAGGTTAGAAAATCTGCAAATATATATTCTATAAATAAATATGTATTTTATCCTAATTGCAGTTAGTCGTGTTCGAAGCAATCGCGATTGACGCCCGGATGTAATGCTAAATTCAGACAGATTGGCAAATCAAACAGAGCGAATATTTGACTGAATTCAATTGAAGGCTTGAATTTAACTGAAACGCGTAGAGACCTGGTATTCTTATTCAATATTTTAAAAGCCCAACCGGGAGCGAGCTTGAGAGTCTTAAAAAATTAATTTTGCTGCATTTAGCTCTCGACGTATTTTCCTCCCGGCGGCAAGAGCGCGTACCTCCTCTTTAAGATGAGGTTAAGCCCTTCAATGCACTTTTCCGTCGACTGCGGGACACAAAGCAAAGTTCATTTTATCTGACGAAATTAACAAGTTTACGTCGAGAGAACCGTTGAAAACGCGAATGCGTACCGCTTATTGCATTTTGTCAGGCGACTTGAGAGAGAGAGAGAGAGAGAGAAAGTAGACGTCTGTTCGACACGTGTGCACGACAAACGACCTACCGATAAGCAGCGCTGGTGCCGAGAAGGTCTACGCCATAAAATTTCCGAACCTCTCATTCAGGGAAAGCCACAACGATGGTGCCGCCCTGTCGCCGTTTTTGTCTTCGATGTTCCGGCTGTTGAGTTTCGATTGATGACCTTAATTAACAGATGTACAAAGAAATGTGCAGCTGCTCTCGAAAAATCCTACTTCGCGACAACTTAGCTTAGAAGACTAGCAAATAAGGTGTGAGGGTAAGCGCGAGGCAATCTCATGAGAGTGAATATGAGAATGTAAAACGATATCTGTGATTAATGTGTTAACGGTAAATTCTACGCTCGTATTCTCGTCGCCGTCATAAGGCCAAAACATCGGCTTTAAAAATTAATTTTTGAAGCTGCCTGACCTCTGGGAAAGTTGGTTTCCATGAATTATGTGCTCCTATTGCGGACGGGGGAGGCTACAAGGCCAATCCTCATTGTCCAGCAAGTTAGGGAGCTGCGGAGAGTGGAAGAGAGACGAGTTAAAAGCGAGGCCCAACGAGGTTAGCCCCTCTTGAGAGTGTTTCCGGCGTCGCGGAAAACCAGAAGAGAAGAAAATTCGCTGGCGCTGTGAGAGTCGTTGATTGGTGCTCCCGCCAGATTTTGTTCTTGATCCGAAACGGCAAGTCGCTCCTTCATATTCGTATTCGCGTAGCTTACTCTGTTTACCGAGCGTCACTTTCAAGTAGTTTTGTCGACCGCGCCTCAGATTATTGCATCGAAGCTTAATTTCGATTTTATTCCTTGGTAAATTTAAAATTTATTCCAACTCATACCTATATATCACAAGCTAAGCTAAAGTATGAATAATGAGCCAATAGCGAAGAAGCATTGTAGCAAACAAATAAAAGCCGGAAAAGCATATCTCAGCGGCAGTCATTGTCCGCGTTGTCGATCGCTGCCCCTCAGCTTCATCATCGTCCTTTGTTCTCGCCGTTCGCCCCTCTCTCGTGCTTCTATTTGCCGGCAGTCACGCGCGAACGACCCTTTACGCACGAATTACTTTTGATGTCTGGCTTCTTACGTCCTCCCTCTGTCGCGCGCTCTCCCTTCGCGTGGTACGTGCGACTATGCGCTGACGGTTCTCGAGAAAAAAACTAGAAGACCGAGCGAAATTTTGCGTTGGGCTTGCCTCGCTGTTGCGGCGTCGTGTTGGCTCGACGTTTATTTGTGGGATTTGTACGTGAGGAAATACGCGACGCTAGTTAACGCTTATATTATACGACGTGCCAGCTGTACTTTCTTGTATATATGATTATTCTATACTTTCAATGTTGAACACCGCCAGAGCTGACTTATTTTCAAATCTGTTGATTTACATATTTACAGAAGCTTTTTCATTTCAGTAATACAAAGGCGTCTGATAACAAGGTGCTACATTTGCCACGTCACCGAATTAAGTAAAATTCACGACTGACGGGAAAATATGTGGGTTCTGGAAAAATGCCTGTTTCTCTCGCAAAGAAAATAGTATAGGCGTCGGGGGAGGGGGGGGGGGGGGAGTCTCAAACGTTGAAAGTTGGGCGAAGGCATAAAATATAATGCGCAAGGGATATAGCCGATAACATATCGGCGACGCACATACCGCTAGCTAAACACATAGTCGCATTCAGCTCGCCGAACGTCAATGCATCGGAAGAAGAAAGCCGGGGCGGCGCGTAAAGTTATTGTGCTCGGCAACTCGCTCACAGACACATTGTAACGAAACGAGGCCGCCACGTGAGGGTCCAGTCTGGAGGTTGCGAGTGTATAATAAAGAGGCCGGTGTGGCGCTCTCGGCGTGCGCGCGCGAAGCTCTCTCTCTCTCTCTCTCTCTCTCGCTCTCTCGACTCCGCTCACGGCGGTGGCGGCTGCTCTCTCAGTTACGATCCGACCGCCGGCTTGCTTGCTCGCGACATCCGTGTGTGTGAATACTGTGCGCTAGGGGTGCGCTCTCGCCACGTGTCGGTGCGTTTGTCCCCCCCCCCCCTCTTTTTTCTGTAATCCTCATCGTTCTCTCTCACTTTGCCCTTCGTACCTCTCATTGCAGGTGCTTTCGCTCGCGGCGCGCTCACAGCATCGCGAGCTTTTCCGCTTTGATCGATTTTCGCGCCGTAGTCTGGCTGATATGGCTTTGATATGCTAATTGATCGAGAGCACGCTTGTTGTTACTGTGGAATTGGCTGGACTTGCGGCTAGGTCGACAAACTTTGCCAATTTTTTCGCGTTCTACGACAAAGTTTCGTTTTAACGCTGAAGTTCGTCGGAGGATGGTCAAACAAAATAGCATTTCTGTCCGCTGAATCGAGGAGTAATTCATTCTGTGCGGCTGCGGCGGCTGTCTGATAATACTCGCAACAGTACGAACACTTGTTGAATTAGCGACACAATTCCGTGCAGCTTTTAGCTGATTCGAATGATAACGCAAGCCCGAATATTCGCGAAAATTCATTCGTTAGGATGTGAAAAACGATACGTGACCTGCAGTCAGAAAAACACAATCTGAAAGTAAAGTTATTATAAAATAGTAGCAATAGCATCTCCTAAAAAGTTACGGTATAACGTGGTAACGATAAAAATCTTTGAAAATAAATGGTCGTAAAGTTGCGGTACAATCGTGGCTGGAAGAAAGAAGAGAAGAAGAGTGGCGGCAGATGAACAAACTCAGAAATGCCGGGAGTGATGCTCGGCCCAAATCTCGTGACACTAACACACGCGCGTCACGTGCCCTTCGCAATAAAGCCATGAACAAAGCTTTTTGCGCGCACGCGAGTTAATAACACCGCCTAGTATTGTTTCCAGCGAGCTTTTATGCCCGCAGCGTTCTCTCGGGAAAGAGAAGAAAGGAAGAGGAGGATCAAATAAAACGCGTCTTCGATGCCTCTCGAGGCAAAGGTTACACTCAAATTTAGACGACGTCCCGAGCGACGCTACGCACTTTGGACGATTACTTGCCGTGGGCTTCGTAAGTGGATCGAGCGGAGATCGTGATGGGAAAGCCACCGTGGACAAATTTCTTCGCAAATGATAGTAAATGAAGAGCTCCGACGTAAGCTACTCCTCGGGCCGATCGCGTAAATCCCACGCAAGAAATATTGCTTTCCAAGTCCAATCGATGCGCGAGCGATTAGTAGCCCGGCAATTCGGTAAATCCATCTGAAATACTGACCCGCTCGCCAGCCAAGCTCCCTTCGGACTTCCAATAATTTCATTAAGATTTCGCTACACGCTCGAATGATAATAAAAATAGCCGACTCGCGTTTTCGAGCAGATAATTGAAAGCCACATTAGCCAGCTCAGTTTTATATTCATCAGCTTATAATTTAATTAACATGTTTAACTTTTCCCTCCTCCTGAGAAGTTCACTTTATGCTTTTATTTAATGAAACATTTTTCTTGCAACAGTTTGTAATGAAAAGTTAATCCTGGAAAGGCGAGGTACTAATTAATTTAAGAAAAATAGAGAGCAAGTGAAATTGAGCTACGAGACAGTAGTATGGTTCCGAAGTTACGAGTTGCGAGGGAAAAAAGTTTGTCACTCTCATTAACGTGGCGCCAGAAAATGTAAATCCCCACGGAGGCAGATCAAACTCCAGTCGAAGGCGAAAATATCCTTTATAGGTGAGCAAATTGAAAATTTTCACCGTTATTCGCTCATTTTCATTTGCGTCGAGGAAAGTTTTTTTTTTATTCCGAAGAAAAACTATTGTGGATTTTGCGTTGAAACGATTTTGTTATGCGAAAAAGCTTTCGCAGCATTATATCGATAATGACGCAAAGTAAAAATTAAAAATTCACGGAGAAAACTTTCATTGAGGGAAAATAGAAGTACTGCGGCAGTTTTTACGTTGTGAGGCCAAACCCACTTTTCTTCTCTCATTTTTCACAAAGTCCGAACTTTGCCTCGTAAAGAAAGTCACTGAAAAGATTCATCGGGTGAAAGTACGGACGCGTAATTTAATGAAAAATGATTCTGTTATAAGCTTGCTTTCCTACATTGACCGAGTGCTTATTGCGAATCTTAAATAAACGATTGAAAATAAGCATCCAGTTGATTGAACAAATAACTTGATTGAATAACCATTGAAGAAAATGCATCCGTTGAAAGTGGAAAGTGCCTTGCACGTCTTTACGAACACAATGGGATAGAAGATGATGTCTATCGAACTCTGAAGAATGCGCTGGGGCAAAGTTATGCAATTGGCGCTCGTGAGAGACGCGAAGCGCAACGAGGTGTACTGAAGCTGCAAGCCTACATTATCGGCCTTGCAACACTTTGGAGAATGATACGAGAGAGCGAACGCATCCCTTATCCTTGTTCTCAGTCTGTTTTCCTCTCTGACGCGTGTACATATCAGCAAAATGACCTACCGCCACGACTTTATTAGTGCCATCGAGTGGCCGCGCGGCGCGGAGTTAAAAATAGACGAACGAGAGCTGTGGTTTAGAGATAATCTTTGTACGTGTAAAAAATAAATAGCCTACCTCGCACGCAAAGCCCTGCAGCAGCTGATGCTCGCAGGGTACTAATTTATGAGCGATGAGGCCGCTACTCCTTAACCTCGCTGCTGTGCAAAATTTATATATACGTATGCCGGATATTATGCTAAACAGTTTGCGCCGTTGAACAAATATTCCCGACATTTCCTTTCTCTTCTCGAAGTGCGCCGTGTGCGTCATTTGGAGAGTTAAAAATTTGCATGGAATTCGTGGCAAATATTCGCTTCAATGCCATTGACGTATAGTTCTTTGTTGTGTCGACAAAGTTAATGCACATGTCAGAGAAGTACTAATTAGATTCCGTCTAGCGGAAAGTCATTGAATCGCAGCGGTGCTTTTTCGGGGAGTCTCGGTGCCAAATATACGAAGCACGTCGTTTTTCGTTCGGTCGTTTTGCGTTGCCGTTGCGCAAGCTCGTCGGCTGTTTCACCGAGCCGCAACTTTCATTAAAAAATTTTCAATATACACGTATTTCGTTGGAGGTACAGAACAGGCCGGCTCGGTGAAGAAAGAGCCAATGAGAGATACCTGTAGTAGAGGTTTCGCGCAAGTTCCATTGGACCTCGGAATAAATTCGATTCATCGTCAGTTTCAATAACAACTTCGTAAATTGAACGGCAGTCGTAAAATGAGCGCTGCTGCCAATCACAAAATTCGCCTCTATGCAAAGGAACTGCACTGTAATAACTAAAAGCAAAGGAACTTAAGTACGCATTCGCTATGTTACGCATATTTTGGAAGCTAATCAACGATATTGACCAGAAAAAAAATTACGGCATGTACATATTCATAGCTCTTTCTCTTTTCGATTTGGTGGAATATTCATAGTTAGCCGATTTATAATCTAGCTAAATAGAGTCTTTGACAGAAAGGAAGAACGCTCCAGCATGGCTTAGGTACGCAGGAGAGATCTAAACTTGTTTTTCCCCGGAGAATCGCTTTTGTTTATTTTTGCAGAACGATTCTCTCGAGGAGCGATTTTCTTAATCCGGATGCGCGTATCGAGCCGAGAGAGGCGGACGGATCGAAGATTAGATCGGGAGGGGGGAGAGGCAGAGAAAAAGCTCGCGGCCGCGAGCGGTCGACTGGTTGTTGTGCGTCGGGGTTTAAAAGTCCGCAAATATACGAACGCTCGAACTTGATAACGTTCGCGGCATCTTTCTTTTTCCCGTTGTCCACGCGTAGCTTTCTGGTTGCCGCTTATTTCTAGCTCGTCGACAGCATGCCGTTCGTTTTTTATCGCAAATAAACGGAATCCACGCAGGAGTGGTATCGTTACGCGTAAGCTCGCCGAGGTAGCAGCCACTATCACAGCTAGAGGTTTCATTCTACACGCGCTGCTAAAATACTCATCGACGATTACACTCTTTACTAGTCCCACTCGAATTCCAACGGCTAAGGAATGTCGAGCAAAGTCACAGACAGTGACTAGGTCATGTCAGATAAAAAGTTTTAGTTACGCGTATCTTGCCTCGTAAACAAAACCGTTAGAGTCTTCTGAATATTCGCAACGATATTTGGACGAGCCAATATTGCGTGGAATAGGATGGGACGCGGGCGCGTAGGCGTTGCGCGAGAACACAAAGAGATGACAAAAAAGAGAGAACAAATACCCACGTATAGCCTCGTCGGGTCTATCGAAATTGCAAGTATGTAATGGGCTCGCCATTCAGTTCGACGAGTGGCGCGGCATTGTCTATGGTAGGTCGTTGGCGGCCCATAGCGCAGCTCCTAGACAAATCGTACGAGCGATGACATGAGCATGGAAACTAGCGTGAAGTCATTAGCGGATAATTGAATGGGAAATTATGCCCAGCGCGTTAATTAATCCAGACGCATGGGTTTCGAGCGTAAACTTTGAGCGGCAATCGTTCCTCCGGCGAAACGCGCATGCGATCCAATGAGAGGGAACGCAAACGCGTCAAAATCATCGGCCACCGCGCGATCGATCGCAGCATCGCCACGACGTCGACTGCGTACGCATGTGCGCGCGCGTGTCTACGGCTCTGTCACCGCAAATCGATGACCGTTCGAATGGATTCAATTTCAAAATTTTATAGCCGCGCAGCGACCCCGGAGCTGCTTCAAACGGCAGAGTTTCGCTACCGTAAGCCCGTTCGGTTGGCGGTGGCTCGAGCACGTACGCAAAGACTGGCTTGCGCCAAATTATCGCTCACGAACTTTGCTCCGCGGTACGACCGGAGTCGTACGCGCATTTAAAAATTCAATTGATCGCTGAAAATTCGTGTTCCGCTACGCCAAATGATAATTATCCGGAAAATTGTTTGCCCACGGGCGCCCGAGAGATGTACACAATTCGGCTGGTTCGAGGCGCGTAAGTCCGCAAGGCCTCACCACGTCCGAAGGCTACGCATTTGCATGAATTATCATTTTGATGAATTCCTGAGCGTTGATTTACCAGCAAACCATTAAGTCTCGCGTGTCCTCTTGTTAAACGAACGATTATCAGTCGCGGGAAAAAATACACAACCAGCATTGGCATTGAATAGCAGCGCGGAAATTTCATCAAATCAAGGCTTGATGAAAAGAACCGCAAGGACGAACGGCGTGACCGCGTAGCAATGCAAAAAAAGAAGACAAGAACGAGCCAAGGATAGACGAAATGTAATGAAATTCCAGCGCTCGGCTCTTCGCGTACTCCGACTCTTCGACACACCTACGTGTAATTGATTCGCCGCTAACACTGCTCGAGGAAACCGAATATGCCAATAGCATTATTAACCAAGTAATTTTCCAATACAATTAGCTTGCTCGGTCGAAGAAACTGCGTCGCGAGGTGGAAAAGCCGCACGAGTGCCAATGCGAAAAGATCAATGTGGAGTTTTCCGTCCGAATAGAGCATCAGTCTACACTGAGCGGCTCAATCGATCGCACGAGCGCCGGTAACGTGACTCTGCATGAAAATTTCTCAGCGAGCTTGCAGAAAAAAACAGCCTCGATATAGGAGGGGAGAGCAGCGAACCAGTGAAAGAGATGAGAGAGAGAGAGAGAGAGAGAGAGAGAGAGAGAGAGAGAAGTGTGGGGTGCTATCGATTTAACAAACATACACCCGATGCGCAGCAGCTCGTCAGTGGTTACGTCTCGATACGGTCAGACGAGCTCCAGAGTGAAAGTTTCGCGGCCTATTCCCAGGGCGACGCGCGATTGAATTGCAATAGCAGAAAAGGCTATTATTATCTGATGCTGCTTTTTTCTCTCACCTGTTGCTATTCCATCTGTTCGGCTGCCTGATTTTGATCATTGCGGCAATAATGTGCCTCAAAATGAAATAATTCAATGAAGGTTAGCCGATCTTTCTACATTCTCAACCTTTACTTTGGCAGAATGGACGGTTTCCGCTGATAAGGAATTATGGAAATCGAGCCCCGGAGTTTACATCGTGAAACTCTAAACGGAAACGTAGCACGACTTCCAATTCAGAAAAATCGACCCATACCAATATCCAGATACGAACAAACAGCCGTATCTTCGATCTTCCAGAAGCCTAATTCTCATAAATAGTGGATCCAAAGCGTTGAAGACCTATGCTTGCCCTCGCGCTCACAGTTGTCTATCTCTTTTTGCACACCACTATCTATACGTCAGAGTACATACAAAGTGCCGACCTGTATCGAGCAAACGAGATTGTAAGTCGATCTGAATTGCACGTACGACAGAGGAAATAATGAGAGATAGCCATGCGGACGGCTCGGCTCTACGAAAGTGACGGGCGACAGTGTCAGTCCGATTGCCGAAAAAGCGCATCTTGAAAAGCGCTGAAACCTCGAGTGTACTATTTCAATTTTAACGAGGCCCCGGCAAATTCGACACCACAACGCACCGCGCACGGGGCGAAGTATTAAATTCCAAGCGCAAGCGTGGACTATAACAAGATTCCACGACTGCGATTATTCCTATTCGCGGCATATTGACACGGCTGATTCCTCGTGCAACTGCTTCTTTTATTGTGCCGCGATTGGTTGACGTTACCAGATGGAAGCAACGATCAGACGTCGGCCTTTTAATGTCAGCTGAAATTGCGATATTTTCCGACTACAACATTATTAATATTGACGGGTGGCTGGCGGTTAATTACGGGCCAGCGATGAAATTGCCCAACG